TTGCAATGATTTCAGATCGTTTGTCAATTGTAATACATCAGTACATAGAAAACAATAATTTAAACTTACGCCATATGAGAAAAACGTTCTACGTACAGTACGTTATTGTAAAGGCTTTCTTAATGTTGAGGAAAAATTCGAACCCTTGTAAAATACATCGAACACCTTTTTCGCTGAATTTAAAATATTAAAATGGCATTTTCTTTCAATACGGTATATCAAATCAGAAAGCCTGTTGTATCGCATGTGTGGTGTTACGGTGTAGAATAATTATTGAGTAAATATCCGTCATGAAAATTTTGTAATGCAGGGTAAATGAATCCATCCCAAGTTTGGCAGCGTATAAAAAAAAATTCCATTAAGGAATGTTTCTGATGATATTTTTAATGGACAAATGAGATTAATTCCTATAATACTGCTCGTGGTGGAAAAAGCGGAATGATGTAGAGAAATTTTAAAGTCTCCTCAGTTTTCAGATTTATTTTTCACTGCCATATATCCTTATTGCTGACAAGTGCAATTTTTCCATTTCCCTTTAACATTGCCATTTTTTTGAATCTGTGACACCTGTTTCAAAGCTGTTAAGGATTTCCCCATACAAAGAGGTTTTATGAGTAGAACACCACACACTTCAACTTCTGATTGAAGAAATACCTCTGAAAGCCTCCATCATGATGCCACAGCCCTCTTGAACAAGACCTCTTCTTTGTTTTTTTTCCCACAAAATCCCACTCTTCCATCAATGGGAAAGGGGGATTTTGTTTGGGACTGCAGGCAAAGACTTTTAATTGAATGTTAAATTAATGAACGAGCACCTGCTTATTATGAACCAGTGCTGGGCTTCAGCAGACTCACAGCACCAAGGAACCTGTCCCAGAAAAACCTTTAAAATGTGTACAATGATGCTGCAAATTGTCTTTGATACTGAAGTAAATGGCCAATCAGAAAGCAGCAAAGAATCTCAACCTTCATCCAGAACAAGTGTGACAGAAGCCTTCTTCAAGAATGCATAAAAGCCTTGAAAGCCAGAAATCAATACCTCATTCTCCCATCCAGAATCTCATTCCCATTCTTAGCTTGCACTGAAAAATATCCAGCCAATTATTTTAGAAATTGTGTGTTATATTATGTGTGTATTTATCTTGAAGAAGATTCTGAGTTGTTAATTCTTTTGGGGCATGAATAAATATCCTTTTCTTGGAGCCTACATATAAAGAGGTTCCCAGCTAGTCTTAGGTTGATTGTGGGGCTTTGAATTTAATTGAATTGAACAGCAAGCTTCATTTTCTGCCACATCCAAAATTCCTTCCCTCCCCACCCAAATTCATCCTAACACATTCCATCCCAACAGAATGGAAAATGGAGAAATAAGCATCCCAAAATGTACAATTGAACAACTGATGTAAATACATGCACTTTCTTCCTCTAATGAGTGGTTTTTTTTACTAATAAAATATCTTTGCTTGGTGAAATCTCCAAAAAATGGATCTTAAACATTTAAATCCCAAAGAGCCCATGCTTCAAATTATAAGAATCAGTTCTTATATATTTGGATGCTAATTCAATCTGGGGATAAATTTCCCATGGCTTCCATTATTTTCAGGAAATACTCGTAGTACTCACTTCATCAGATCTATACAAAAAGAAAAATCATCTGACCTTCTGGTCAAGGACTTTCTCGGAGTGGCTCATGCTGGGAGAAAATTCAGCTTTTGTATTTGATGGAAAACAAAAGGAACCGTCGAGTCATTTTATAACCCCACGAACTGATATATATATATATAATACTTGTCTTCAGTCAGCTTGTTTCAGCGATTCACTCCTGTGCAAGTTTTTGCTTCGTCACTGTGGCCCAAATTCAATTCTCCTGAATTCAAAAAAAGTATCCGAAAAAAAACCTGAATTCTCTTTTCCGAGTCATTTTTTTCCTCCTTCTTAGTATGAACGGGATCCGTTTTGTTTCACGTTTCAGAACTGTGAGAAATGATGGAGTTTACGCGATTGATTTATTCTATAATTGTGCTAGAAGTGATATTTTTTTGTGATTCGGGTGTTGAACCTGCGGGTGTTTTCAACATCCTGCAGGACCCAATGAACCTGGTCAAACAAGCCGAGAAAATAATTACGGACGCCCGCGAAACCTTTCCCACAAAAATCGTCAATAATATACAGCCTCAGACGAAACCCATTGATTTTAATGTCGTCACGGAAGTGCAAGAAAATGACAATAAATTGGAAACCAGAAGTGACATAAAGCCAGAAGAAATCAGCAATTATGTGCATCACGAATTTGAAATCAAAGGTGGAGGCATTCAGAAAATCAAGCTTTATACTGGGCCTGATCTGAGTGGAGTCAGTGGGGAACTTCTGGGAAGATATTGTTGGGACTTGAGAAGATGTTTCGAAGTCACATTGGATAATTCTGTGTCAAGTGTTCTCGTCACTGGCCTGTGAGTATCATTTATTTTTTATCTAAAATGTGTAAAAAAAAATTAGTTGATTAAAAATATTCAATATATATTAAATAATTTAGAAACAGTATTTCTACTTTTAATTTATTAAGGTGGACTCTCCACATCAATCTTGTCTACAATAAAAAAATTCTCCATGCAAAGGAATGTTTTCTGGTCCCAGTTCTCTCCAGAATCTTAAAAATGTTCTTCAAAACAAAATTCCAACTACAAGAAACTTGTAGTTGTATAGTTGGGGTTTGGATGTGGAAATCTGGATTGAACCTTGTGAATGCTGAAAAGCAGCAAATAAAGTGTTCTGTTCATTCATTCATTCAACAAATTTTTTCATTTAACCTTGAACTTTATTGCTGTAGAGTGTCCACCATAGATTTAAATGGTGTACCATACAGTTCAGTTGATGTATCCCAAGTTCAAGTCAGAGGGACTGAAAGCCACTAAACTTAGAACATTATTGAGATATAGGAAGACTGAAATTTTGTTCTTGAAAAAATTCTTACAATTTTCAGAATGGATAATTATTAGTAATCTTTTAGTGTTAAAAGCTGCTGAATAAGTGAATAGTGGTTGATTTATGATTGTATTACTCTCCCTATTTCCCTGATTCTGTGTAGATACAAATTTCAAATACAGGTGGTATGTTGCAGTTAGACCCCAATCTGTTGCCAAACTAGGGTCAAATTACAAATTGGTCATATGGCAAGACAGTCCATGAAATTCAAGAACATGAGCACAAAAACACAAAAAAGTGGCCAAAGCAGGTTAAATTGCGGGGCAAGGGTATAATTGCAATAAGTCAACCTTGCTGCAAATTTGACCATTGAATTGCGCTATTGTCAAATTTCAGAAGGTCAAATTGCGAAGTACCACCTGATGTAAAATTTAAATGATAGTACAATGGCCTTTGGGAATTCAAGTTAGTGCTGTGCATCAAAAATACAAAATCAATGCAATAAAATATTGTTTTAAAAATTGTGCTACAAGAAACTGTTGCTCACATCAAATTTATTATCAGGTCCCTGCCCAAAAACCGCAATTTTATTTGAATCTCTTAACAGCAATATTTTTCAGCAGAATATTTTTTCTGGTCCTAATGACTTTTTGTGAGAATCACTTTACTGTATTGCTTGCTGTAATTTTTTCAATTTACTTTCTCCACCAAGATCCTGGATTTCACACTAATTTTACATGTAAACACCGCGGCATCTATGAATTAAAGCATAGGCAAATGTTTTCAACTCACATTCACAAGTTTCAGACACAAGGACCTGTATTTATCTGTATCTTGAACAGACATCAATGAACCTTCATTACTTTCCAGATGGGCATTTTATACTGACTACACCTATGGCCAACTCTCAGAGAACAGCAGCATTTCAGGAGAAGTTGAATGGGCTTGGGGAGATAATCACTTGCACAATTTTGGTACATATTTGGACAATAATGTATCCTCAGCCAGATTCATTGGACCTGGACAGGACATGACTGCAGATAGCTTGTCTATGTTCAGTGGAAGTTTCTTCAGAGGAAGAGAGTACTTTCTGGTAGCCAGTGAGGACAAACTCTTTGGTTGGAGCTTTGCCCTAGGGTCTCTTGTGGTCACAGGAAACTCTGCTTGGACCTTATATGAGTGAGTCATTAAACAAAGAGTTATAATATTAAATTTAAAAATCAGTGAACTGTGTTTCAGTTGCTCTTTTTTTAGTGTGAAATACCAGATTTAAAAAATGACACAATAGATGACAAAACTCTTGGGTATGTTCAAGGACATTTTTTCACTCTTTCTGTGTATGTTTGTTTACCTAAAGTTCTGCTATGTTCCCTCAAAAGAAATATGTTGATCGATTTTTTCAACATTCGTGTTTCTGAGATACCGTATATTGGCTTTTGAAAAATGGTTCCAACTTTGTTTGAGCAAACCTAAATTTAAAATTCACTTTCCCACTCATCCCTTCAATCATAACTAATAATTTATGACTAATAAGAGTTAACAATTTTATAGAGAACCCGGCTTCAAGGGATCGAGTGGATGCGTTTACCCGCCGGGTGGTGGAACCCCGAAAATGCTCGCAACCCCGGACGTCATCGGAAACGTCATCGGAATGGAGCAAATCGGTTCCGCGAAAATTGGCTGCCATTCTCGCAAAATTCTTCCTCAAGTGCAAAAATCAACGGCTTCACTCAAGACATCTCCCTTGAATTACCCAATTTTTCCTCCATTCGCCGTAAATTTACGCGGTGCCAGTCCTCTTCAAGAATTCGACGAAAATGCTGCCACTGAAAAGAAAAACAAGACCAGCAACAAGAAATGATTGTTATTTTTATGATTGAAGAAAATATCGTACTTTTAGAAAAAAAAATTAAATCAAATTTACTCGGATGATACCAAATTGAAAATTCAGGGCACGTCTTTCGCCGTGACTTTGGAATTGTTCGCATCAAACTTACTTGAATCAAAATCAAATTTACTTGAATGAAATCAAACTCAAAATTCGGGGCACGTTTTCGCCTCGACTTTGGTATTGTTCGCATATCGGCACGAAATATCGTCGGAATTTTTCCAGGAAATGGACTGTTTCTTTTTTTGTCATGGTGAATTAATCATATTTTGATTTATTTTTCAAAAATATATATACAGTTGATAGAATATATTCTGTTCATTTATTTGTTTCCGGAAATATGTTCAAAAACCTTCAGACTTCATGAAGGGCAATGCAAAAGGTTGTTGAACTTTTACCCTGAGGAAGAAGACCCCTGTTCATTCTTCCCCACTGCAGCACTGGGATGATGTCGGTCAACAACCTGTTATTCAGCGTTGTTCCTTTTTTTTTCTGCTGATTTTTTTTCCCGTTACACTGCACATTTTTCTTTTTGCTTGCTGTCATCGTCGTGGCAACCGATTGGCGAGAAAAAATGGCGAGTTGAATGTTTTTTGCGAGTAAGTCGCGAGTTCGGCGGTGCGGAGTCACGGTGCAAATGCTGCATGTGACTTCGGATGAACACTTGCGAGTTTTATATTTCTATTCGAAAATATTGATTTTTTACATTTTTCCCGTGAAAAATATCTTGTGCGTATGTTTTGAGAAGGTTTTTTCTTCCGGTTACCAAAATTGTGCAGCGATCATTTTGAATGAATGATCGAACCATAAATTATTTTTGGCGTCGCATTTCCCTCATCAGGAAGAAGAACTTGAAAATACGTCGATGATTAAAGAAAAATTGCTTCTCTGATGCCGTTTTCATTTCGGAAATTTCTCAAAATGTGGCATAATTCCGTGGAAAAAAGTGTTATACTGTAATGCTTATTTTTTTCGCGATGACCAAAAAATTCGAGTCAAGCACAATGTATATTTTTTTTCCAAGTCCGCGATGGTAAAAGCTTGACTATGAAGTGGGGAAAAAAGGAAATTTCTCCGAGTTAATTTGAAGGACGTTTTGACATTGTTGCAGTTTTTCTTTTAGGAAAAATAAGACGTTATAATATGACACTGGAGGAGTTCTCGGCGATTTTGGCAGGAATCATAATCCTGACATCGGTCCCACCGTCAGAACAATCGTCGTTGTCGAAGTCTCCTAGAATTTCCAACACGAAACCTTCTGATGCTGAGAATTTTGGCAAAAATTTTGAACAGCTTCCTGAAACTTTGCCCAAAGATTCCGTCGGGTCGAACAGATTTTCTTTGACCAATGAGGATTTGCGAATCCGAGAGAATTACCAGTTCATCAGCGTGCACTCGGAGAAAAATCTGCAAGGAGATTCTGCGAATTTGTATGCCAATTATTGCCGGGATTTGAGATTTTGCTTTCAAGCGGATTTGGACAAGGACGTGTCCAGTGTGAGGCTCCGGGGAATGTGAGTTGACACATGTTGAAATTTGTTTTTGAAAAGACATTGAAAATGTCGTTTACAAGAATGAAAATTATTTTCGGTGCTATATATAATAAAATTTACACACCGTGAAGACATCATGCACCCAAAAATCCTTATAGCCAGCAAATTTGGATTATATGTAAAGTTTGAAGTGAACTCGATTTTGAACTGCACAGCTGAAAAATAGATTTGTAATAATGTCTAACTTGACAATATTTCGTTTGCACAACTCAGTCAAATTCAAACCCACGTACGACTGCAAGTGACATCTACCCACATAAAAATGTTTTTTCTGAAACAGGTTCTTTGATAAAATGTTTGGATTTTGAGGCTATATAATAAAATTGAGAATCAACCCTTTATCTCTGATCTGCAGAGAAAACTAGTGGGTTTACTAATAAAAGCACCTGAATCACCGTTAAATTGGTTTATTTAAACATAAAAACCGCATTTCATGGAAATCTCGATTAAATCACCCGAAAATCTTTCACCTTAAATTTAGAACAGGTGAAAAATATTCCACAAATTGAGTTAATTGTGGGAAAGAAGTATGACGTTTCCCTGAAGAATTTTTTTTTTAATTTCACTTGTGAATTGAATCGATCCAATTGTTTGCTGGGGGAAATTAATTACAATCGTCCCTTATTTATCTTTTGAAATTGCACAGAAATGCCCAAGAAAATCCCAATGTTGAATCAGCATTCATTTTTTCTTCAACCCAATTCCAAACTTTTGTGTGGCTTGCCCAACAGTTGATGGATCAACTATAAGAACTTTGGTGGAGTTGGGGATTTTTTTAGACGTTGTATTATACTCATGCAAGCTGAATCANTTGGGTGTCAAGAAAAATTTTTTCTTGTTTTTATTCAGGACGGATTTTCCGCGTGAGTTTCATTATCATAATCAAATTATTTTTTCCATATCACAATCTCACAGCAAGAACTTCGCCTTTCCCGGTTTTCAGCGGACGCAGTTTTGGCACGTGAATGCACGTGTCACGAATCGCCCTTTCTCGGGGTCTGCGCAAACATTGGCGGACGAAACAGCGCCGGGAGTGGCGCAAAAACCTTCGCAGCAGGTCGACGTCGTCTCCAACGGGCGCCGCGAAAAAGTCGCACAACAGCTCGTCGCTGCCCGAAGACTCCAGGCAACATTCCAAGTGTTCCTACCAATTGAAAATAAGAAATCCAGGATTTCAATATACAGTACCGTAAAACCCCATTAACCCTTGGGCAGCAAAGTTGGCCTATATTCGCGAAATTTTGTTACACCTCAGGGCAGAAAATAAAAAAAGGGCAACAGGGATTTGAGGACAAAGTTGGGGAAAAATCCAATGTTTTTTTTCTTTTCACGCAGAAAAATTTTGTGGGAAAAGGAAAAAAAAATCCTATGCTAAGCAACGGGCTTTTCTCAGATTAATCCTGACTTTGCCTCAGCCCACCTGGAAGGTCTTTTCTGACCTTCAGAAAACTTAAAACACCACAGCATACAAAAATAATCCGATTTCAGCCAGCAATGGGAAAGAACCCTCCGCCGTCCAAGGGTTAAGACGCCCCCCCAATAAAGCGCCACCCTTGGCAACTGCTAAAATTTCAAATGAAACAAAGCTCCTCTATGTTAAATGCCATAGAAAACCTTGATAAGATGCCAACCACCATCCGCCAGCATTAGTGATGAAACAAAAGTGTTGTTTCCAATAAGTTTTGTCTTTGTTACAATGCCAACATTGGGGTAGAATCATAATTTCTACCAAGGATCTTGTATTTGTAAGAATAAAAAAATAATAATGATCATTTTGTTGAGAATTTTGGAAAATATATTGATCTAATCTTTAAATTTGAATAAATTGATGAAGCAAAATTTATTTTCTGAAAGATTAATCCACTGATCACAGCAATACTCTTTGGAAAATTACTGAAGTTTCTATACATAACCTTAATCTATATGACTTTTGGAAGAAAACCAAGTATTTCTGATCAAATAATTGAAATTGAAAATTTGATAAACCCCCAACCCCTTTAAACTGCCAAAATGGCTCTGAACAAATGGTGGCATCTTTTTGGGGCTTGACTCTAGTACTGCACTGTGCATAAAAAATAATGATTCACCGACACATTTTTAAAAATTGCATCATATTTTCTCTCTGAACGCCAACCAAGACATATACAGGAAACTCTACAACAAATACGTACAACAACATTTTCAGTAAAATAAACTTTTTTTTAAAGTCCCAGTAGAAATCCTATAGGAAAAATGTTATAAAGATGTCTTTACTA